CCATGGGGGTGGCTGGGAAAGGGGGAGGGGGTCAGGGGGCTCATGCAGAGCCTTCCATGCAGTATGGACTTCCTAAAGCACATTAAGACAGATACTTAGTATGCATTGTATGCATATCCAGATTCATACATTTAGTCTCTTCCTCCAGATCATCATGAATCAAGGATGTAAAGCATCTATCACATTCAATAATTTGCTCAATTAAAAATAGTCTCTTTGGTCAATTGATTACAAAAAAGAGAAAAAACAACATACAGTAATTGTAATGAAACATTTGAATCCTCACACACTCTTTCAGGTGAAAATTTCTATAGCATTTTTAATCAATAAGACCACAGGATAAATTTCTAGGAAAGGTTTTCACCTCATTTTCATATCACAGGGCTGTTTGGGCCTACAACCTTGCCTAATGTTGTTCCCACTTATGTAGGTGGAGCAACAAAAGATATCACAAAAAGAATCCTCATTTCTTGTTTATTTCCCTAACTGTCATAGGTACAAACCCCCACTAAACCAGGGCTGTGCATCTTCCCTGTGGCCCTGAGCCATACACTGTGCTAGGCTAGCACTCTGTGCTGTGCAGGTGGCATAGGCAGCGTGTGGTCTCCCCTATAGCCCTCTACCACAAGGCAGTGGAAGAGAGAGCTGCAGGGCCCTGTAGGCCACTGCTTTTCAGCCCTGCCATAAATAAGAGAGATCTGTTTTACTTTTAAAAGCACAGGTTTTATTAAAGTTTGAGAGTTCAGCTGCTGGACAAATAAATCATTGGATTGGGAACACACAAAAAGATCTTCTACTTTTAAAACAAAACAAATAATATTATATATAAATCACAGACATACAAGAGGAAAAAATACTGCAGTAAAATATTTATGCAATATTTTTCCAGTAAGTTCTCCATTTTTCTTGCTTAAGAAATTTAATTAGTAAATATAACATTACTAGTCCTCTACACTTTTGTTACACTTTAAGATATTTGTATATCCTTAAATGTAAAACAGACATTAACAAATTATTCTTCTTCCATATCCTTGTGAAGTTCCCTCTCCCCCCTTCCCCTGCCCCGCACCCACCCTCAGGGAAACTGTGACAATGAAGTTTATATGATTTGGCCAAAGTCATGCAAGAGAACTAGAGAGAGGCCCCTCGGCCCATTTTATATCCAAGCGAATATTCCTCCTGTCTACATCCCACTTTCCAAGGCATCCTAGATGATGTTACAGAGACTTCATGGTTTTTAAAGTTATAAAGAGATGATTAGTTAGTTGATCACCACACAAACACTGTTCTTCTGCATAACTGGTTATTAGTAATATCTCCTCCTTATGTAAAGCTTCTAAGTAGCACTAGATTGTAGCTGAAGCGTATTATATATATTTTTGCTGTTATCTTTTCATGTGACAATTGTTATAGTCATAAAAGGGGCACTTTGTGATGAAGAGGGGAGAAATAATGGTCCCATACAAACCAAAAGAGGGTGGGGGCACTGAGGCAACAGACAGACATAAATTTGAAGCCCTCCAAATTTGCAACCCCACAACCAGAGCACTCAAAATCACCACAGTGTAGGCGACCATATGTCCTGGTTTGGCCAGAACAGTCCCGGATTCCATAAGCCAGTCCCAGCCAGTTAGTCAAAATTCTCAAGGTGGAATCCAGCAGGGAGGTGGAATGGAATGGTGCACCAGGCAAGAGGCTGGGCAAGTACTGCTGCTGCTCTGCAGGAGCAAAGACTATAGGGATCTCAGATATGGCATACATCCACTCACCTTGCTCCCACACAACAGCAGTGGTACCTGCCCAGCTGCCCACCCCAACCCTCCAAAAAGAAAGAAAAAAAAGAAGATAACAACAACTACCAAACTGGAAAATGTAAATATCAGAATTCAGGAAGAGGAGGAACCACCACAGAATATTTTAAGAGTATCTTAAAGCTTTTTCAAGCTTCTGAGTTACAAAGCCAAACAGTTTCACAGTTACAGAGATCTACATTAAGAGTAACTTTAGCAAATTTAGTTGAAATACTCTAGATTTTATAATGATGTAAGAGATCAGAATTTGGTCCACAGCTACAGTAAAGCATAAGTCTAGATACATTATGTTTACATTACCACTATTCTATGTCTAAGGACATTTTTATTTTTAAATACCGCCTTGTGTGTTTTGTTCCTCACAAAACATTGTGCTAAATAGATCGTCAAACCTAAACAAATTATAAGATTCTCATGTTGTTTTCCTGTGTGCAGACAGTGCGTCTAGCACATATAAAGCATCTCTCTCTATTCTGCAAAATTCACAATTCCCATATATATTGTACATATACTAAAGCATGCAAGTTTCCTTCCCCTAAGATTGCATGGAAGAAAACAGAGTACCATAAAGGGGAAACATACAAATAAAGTTATTAAACAGTCTGCTTTTAAGAAGAGTCCTTCATTTGTCATATATAATATCATCATGGAGTAGGGCCCACTGGTGGAATTTGAATGCTGCTGCATGGTAACTTGGAACCTTAAACAAAATGAGTGGCATTGTAAAGAGACATGACTGGAGGAAGCAGGCCACAGTACACCAAAATATCACTGGTGGTACTGGGAGATCAGAAGAATAAAAAAGAAGTTAGGTTAGATTCACAGAGTAAAGGGAATTTATTCAGGAAATTAAATAAAAATAGGAAACTTAAACTTGACTTGTTGAAGGAAAAAAAGTTAGTAAATCAACAAACGAATTTAAAGAAGCTAATCTATTAAGAATGACAAGTAAGATTACTTTAGCAGTTAAGTTTTGTACAGACTGTAAAGGATTGTGACAGCATGTAGAGCCTTTTAAGAAGCCAGAAGATGCATCTAGATGAAAGGAATACAGCTGCTGGGTAGACTCGTAGCTGGGAGTACCAAAGAAGGCCCTAGCTGCAAGAGAGGAGGCACAAGGAGCTTGGCAAGTCTGCAAAGTTTTGCAGCCTGGGGGAAGGCAGTTTTTTCTGTTTGCTTTGGCTTCCCTATGTAGAGGAGCACTTTGAAGAAAATAAATAGTTTGAAACTTAAGAAAAGTTTGGTTTAAAGTCCAACAAGAACAACTGTAAAAGGCTAAGCTCACAAGGATTATTATGTTCATACAACCTACTATTAAAGCATTTACACTATGGAGTGGGGTCTGAAAAATGTAGAACAATACCTTCCAAGATAAATACCATCCCTTATCTCTTACTCAAGTTGGTACTGAGCTCTCTTCAGTGTTTCTCAGTAGCTAATTAGATCAGGCCTTTTTACTACTAAAAATGGCAAGGAAACGAAAACCCTAAAATATTTTGTTTGGGCCACAGCAGCACATTTTTGGAATGGAAATTTAACAGACGCCCATGGCACGAGTGTCACCCATGTCACGAGTCTTGCTTGTCCGCAGCTTGAGGTACAGTTCCCCCCAAACCCCTGTACCGATCTCCTTGAAACTTAGCAGGCTTTGTGGCCTCAGTAAGAGCTACCACCCCTGCTATTTTGACCCCCCCTGTGGTTGTAACACAGACATGACAGGAGTTTTGCTTTCAAGAATTTGGGGTGCAGTTCCCCCAAACCCCTGCACCAATCTTCTTGAAACTTGGCAGGTTCCATGCTCTCAGCAGAAGCTACCATGCCTGCAGGTTTCATCCAAATCAGACAAAAAACAATGAAGTTATAGATATTTCATTGATTCCCCCCATTATACCCTATGGACGGATCTCGGAGGTGGCTCCGAAGCTTTGGAGCCACTTTGGCCGGATCAAGGCGGAAACCCAGTCTGGAGCTCCGGATTGGATCGCTGCCATCCGAAGTGGCCAGATCCGAAGCTGGATCGGATCGCTGCCGACTCACACAGGCTCGATGGATTAACTGTCTTTCCTATCAATAGATCTGCTTTTGGTTCTTGCTTTCCAAAAGCAGAATAGTGTTTCATTAGCACCTAAAATTGCAATGGGTGCATTTAGTTATATAAATTAAACACCAGTTACCACTATATATCTTCCTATCCTTCTACTCAGTCACTTATCAAACTGTCTACAACTGCTGTATTGATATATTATCTTCAAACTCACTTTGGGATTATCTCCAAATTGTGTACTCTCTCCATTTCACGGGAAGTGCTCTCCCTCATGATCTTCAACTGTATTTCAAGATGTATTCTCCAGTCTCATTCTCCTTGACCTACCAATTGCCTTTGTTCTGAATGACCCCTACATCCCCTTTGGCCATTTATAGTCACTTAGCTTTCAAGAACAGACCTCTCATTCTCATTGTAGGTCATCACCACCACTGTGTTAACATGTGGTTTGCTGGTTCTCTCTCTCAAACCTGGAAGCCATCCTTGGCCACAGACATTTGTACTGGGAGGAAAGCTATGAATGCTGTGATGCTGAGTTGGATGGAGCGTCCCACGGGAGTGTGTGGGTGGAGTGGGGAAAGGGCCCTCCACATGCTTGGCAGCAAACCCAGAAGTGGATTGGAAGTACTTCCAGTCCACTTCTGGGTCCACTGGGGAGTGCCCCCCCAGAACCAGGAGGCACCAATCACTAAGCCAGGAAGATGCAGGGGGACCCCTCTGTGCACTCCCCAGCAGACCCAGAAGTGGACCAGAAGTGCTTCTGGTCCACTTCTGGGTCTGCTGGCAAGCATGCTGGCGAGCCCCACTCTGCGCTTCTGTAGGGCACTCCATGCGCCCCATCATGGCAGCATTCACGGCCACCTGCTACCTAGAGACATGTAGAAAAAACATTTAAAGCTGTGTCTAAGTCCGAATCAGCAAATCTTTCTAAACCTCTCCGATTCAATTCAGAGAGATTAAAGGGTCCTCTCATTTGATTTGGATTTGGAGGTTTGGCCACCGAATCAGGCCGAATCGCTGCTGAATCAAATCAAGGACCAAAGCTTTGCACAGCCCTACTAGCTAGTTTGGGTACTAACTACTAATTGCAACTGTAGCAGTGCTTCATATGGAATGCAAAACCTTTGCAAGAAGTTGACAAAATATTTGTGCTGTTATAAACTCATTTCTGCTATGGCCAGACTGCTACTGGTACTCATGCTAGATGGTTTCATGCCAACTCAGTGTCTATACACTAGACTGCAGTCATAATTGTCAATGCAATGTAGACATAACTTCAGAGAGATTAAAGAACTCCAAACTCCTGCTGCTGGCTCTCTGCAGGACCCCATGGAAGCCATTTCAGCCACTGCAGGCAAAATAGGCTGTTAAAGTCCTCACCTACCTCACAGAAAAGCTGTGGGAAACAAGCAATTAATGGACAAGCATTTAGAGATACTCAGGCAAATATATTTATGGAGCAGAACTAGCTCCTGCATCACTTGCCATGATTGTAGATAGTGGTTAGTACTCTGTGTTGTCGCTGCAGCAACCTTGGTTCAATCTGAGTCACGGCAGGAGAAGATGTGGCGCTTCCTTTTACAAAAAATGATGGGCGCAAACTCATTGAACATCGCTTCAGGCTAGACATAAGGAAAAACTTCTTTACAAGTCAAGTGCCAAAGGTTTGGAACAGGTTCCCACCAAAGGTGGTACATTCATCCACCATGGCTATCTACAAAAAGAACCTGAATGCCCATCTTGCTGGGGTCATCTAATCCCAGCAGTCTTTTCTACCCAAGTGCAAGGGGGCTGTACCCGATGATCTGTAAGGTCTCTTCCAACCCCTAACGACTATGAAACATTGGTCACTGAATGCCAGTGATTCTTAACCAGGGTGCTATGAGATCCTTTCAAAAGGTGCAACAGGATGTCACAGGATGTCACTCAATATTACCTCTGCTGGGTGTGCAAGCACCTACACAGGATTCACAAAATAACTCTCGAGATTTCATATAGGAATTCCTAGCATCATTCTGGCCTGTTGTTATCTTTCTGCTTTTTTTGCAACAAAAGAATTGCTCTATTATTTTTCTGTAGTCAAAAAATGAGTGAAATCTAACAGCTGGGATTTTCCTAGAGATGCCATGAGTCTAAGCACAGTAATAAGACTACTGGTCAAACGATAAGCAATAATAAGAAAGGTAACATTCATTAAAAAAAACCCAAACAAAACACAATCCTGCTGCAGTTTTTAGAGTTCTGTGCAGCATCACCATCTTCCTTTCAGGCTCCATTAAAATCCTGAACATTGCCACTAGAGCTGACCAGAGGACATCACTTCCATTTCATAGATGTAATATTTTAAAATTTAATTTCACTGTACTGGAAAAAAAAGCCAAAACCTTTGGAGCATTTTGTGAAATGGAATGTCATTGAAATAGTCACGTTTGGAACCAGATATTCAGGTTTTTGATACTGAGCAGGGAATCCACCTGGATCTTACAGACCCTCCCATAAAAGAGTTTTAAAAAATACATCTTCCTCTCTGCACAGAACTTTACAACTTTGATAACAATACTGTACATTTGATTGAAAGTGTTCCACTGAGAAATCCTTCCTCTTCCCCTAAACAAAATGAAGTCACTCCATCCTCAGGTATACAATTAGCTCCAACAACTAGTGGAAGAAAGGCCTCTGGAGCCAGAGAACTGAAAATCTAAATTCTTTCTTTTAACTCATTCATATTTCAATGTACTGGCATAGAACAAGTCTTTAAGGAATCGTTCCTTATAGCATCTAGTTCCCACCTTATTTACCTTCTCATATTCCACATATTCCTTTACTCAAAATAACTGCATCTGAGAATCTGCATCTTCCAAATCTTTATCTTGAAGATATAAAAAGTTTCCAATGAAAAAGAAATCATATCACTTTAACCTGTCCAAAAAACAAGATTATATGCATTTAACTACAGGTATGCAATACTTCTACATATGACATAAAAATACAAAGAAGTTTCTATACACTGAAGTTTCTAATAAACAACCACAAATCCATTTCTTGCTTTCTTTTTTTCCATTTCTCTTACTTGTAACTTTGTTGAAAATGAGTTCTGTGAGATTCATTTTACTTTTTTTTTTTTTACTAGAATACTAAAATAAATCAAAGAATATCTTCTTAATCCAAGTTTGATGAATTATTCCCAAAACCAAAAATCAGTGTTTTTTCTGCATGCTTTAGCTAAATTTTAGTGCTTTCTTAAATAAAGTAAGAGATAGAAGATGGGAAACAATTGAATATTGCTCTGAGGCAAGTTCTTCAAACTGGTGATTAATGTCAGGTACTGTCTCCCCTGTCTGCATTCTTAGAAGTTAGGCATACTGGCTTAATGTTTAAATTCCCCTACGGGTAAGATTCTACCTCAGTGTCTAGTAACCTGTATTGCAGATGCTTTCTTAAATCAATTAGGCTTAATCCATCAAATCTGATAATCTCAACTATAAGAGGCCTTTAGCTAAGAACACAGTCATTTGACATTTTTCCTCCTGTGCAACATTCTCTTTGAATGGAAAATGTTTTCTGTTACTGCCAGGTAAAATGTAAATCCTGCAACAATCTGCTCAGCTTATTATTTTCAAAATCAATAAATAATTTCATCAACCAAAATCCATGCTCATATTCATACTGCAGAGGAGTAATGAGCTGCAAAAACTGTCATATTTTTAGGCCTTCTTTCCAAATAAATTTGTCTTTAATTCTGAGACAAGGTATTGCATTTCTGACATACCATGCTGTTGGGTGAAACCGATTAAATTTTGAAGGATGCGGATTATACAATCAACTCTCAGAGCTCTGCGATTTTCCCTTGGGTGATGCTGGCAAAAAAAAGCTAGTATCCATTGGTTCACATATATTTGTTTCAAACTTTCATGGAAACAATGGAGACAGTCATTACATTAACGTGGGATTTTAGCTAGCGTTAGAACCAAAAAACTCATTTCTATTCTACTAATAAAATACTCCACAGACTTCTCCTAGCAATGGAGCTGAGCTGGAAACTCATTTTCTGCTCATATCACCCTCTGCCTCCAAAATGCATAGGGATAGATGAAGAAAAAAAATATCCTCAGTGCAATACTAGTTAAGTAGAAAAGCACATTTTAAAAACAGATGAGGTTTAATGTCAGTTTCTTTCAATTGTCCCAGCTAAAGTACAAACAGATGTGGAGCAAATATGTTTTGAACAATATTTAGATGCATCAGAATGAGAGTTCTAGAAACTGGTTTAGCAGAGTATTTTGAAGTATAACAACAAGAGTAATCTTACAGGGGGAGAGGAAGACTGAGGGGGAAGGCAAGTATACTCCAAAATCCCTGGATAAAACATGCTTTTTCTGTCACCACAAAGGAAATTTGACACCTTTACTGTAGGGAAAGATTTCAGAGGGATCACCTCAAAAGATTTTGAAGGGCTGCAGAAATACCCTCTTCCCAACTGTACCTACCTGGCCTCATGTAGATGTTCCCTGGCCACCCTGAAGTGCGCGCCTGGGGTCTGCCATGGTGACTGCTCCTGCAGCTGTGATGTTGGGTCATGTTCTCCCCAAGGAAAGTCTTGGCACTTGCCTGCCACAACTTGGATCTTCCGTTTAGTCACGGGGCTTCCCCCTGTAGCAGTCCGCAGGTCAGGCGTTACTCCCAGCAGGTGTTTTTGGGGCTCCACCTCCCCTATACTCCAGCCATGCACCAGCCTCTTGGAACAGCTAATTGGTGGTTAGTCTGATCACCCTCAGGTATTGCCTCCTGTACCCTCCTTATCTGTTCTGGTTCTGGTTCTCTTACTTCGCTCAGGTGTCTTCAAGATGGTGAGCTGTCCTTGGTGATGTGCTGGGTCCCTTTCTCTGTGCCGAGGTCCCCAAAGTAGTCCTGGCTCGCTATGCCCTTTGAGCATTGCTTGCAGCCCTTTTTACCTGCCCTAGAGCTTAGGGCAAATTGAGAAAAGAAATAATTAACTGA